GAAGAGGAGGAGAAGAGTGGGGAGAGGGGAAAAGGGAGAGGGGAGATGGGAGAGACACAGAGAGAGCTGAAGGAAACAGGAGACTGGGTTTAAGAAGGGCATAGGAAACTGATAGCCAAGAAAGGCATAGGTTTCTAATGCAAGCTGGAGACCAGCCCCGCATGGTGGGCTGTGCAGGGCTCTCTCCTGTCAGATGTCAACACTTCTCTCCACACATGGGGGTGCAGAGACCATCCATCACCATCGTGCTTCTAGCCTGCTCCATGCTCCATATCTCCAAAGTTGCCAGACACCTCTGACAGATGATGGCTCGGGGTGAGGGAGAAGCAGAAATAAAAATCAGAAAATATTTTCACAGTTTGTCCTTGATGGCTTACTTACTCATCTGTTCATCATTTAATACGTATTTTCCGGATCCTGGGAAAGCACCGTCAACCAAATGGGTACTTCAGGCTGTTTTTAGACTAAATTTTTATTCTTCAGAATTTAAGATACAATATTTCACTTGTGTCAGATCCTAAAAATCCATAGCCATATAGAGAGATTTTTTTTTCTTCACTTACTTAAACAGGAACTGGTAAACATTTTCTACAGGGGGCCAAAGGCCTGGTGGTGCACTATTAAATGCTAGGCTGCTAACAAGAAAGTCACGAGTCCATCAGCTGTCCTTCGAGGGATCTCTAATGGCTTAGTGGTAAGGAAATGTGCTGCCAGTGCAAAGGTCCATGGATCGAATCCCTCAGTTTCCACGGGAGGATGGACAATCTCCTCCCATGTGAAGTGCTGCCTCTGAAAACCCAATGGAGGGTCAGCAATGGCTCAGTTCCAATTTGACGGTACACAACAACAATGACAACTACCATTACTACTTCTATATTTGGGGAGAACGATAATGCAGCTGCGTATATAAAGCTTACAGCCTGGAAGCCCAGCCCAGCAGTTCCACTTTGTCCCGCAGGCTCTGTATGGGTCAGAATTGGCTTGATGACTATCGATTTTCTCATTTGGAAGTGTTTGTTTTCTTTTGTTTTAAGTAAATATTTTAGATTTGTGAACCATGTGGTCTCTGTTACAATGACACAACCCTGCCTTTTTGGTGTGAAAGTAACCATTGGAAATGCATAAATGAATGGGCATAGTTGTGGTGGTGGTGTTGTTAAGTGCCACCGAGTGGCCTGGGACTCATAGCAACCCTATGTACAACAGCCCTAAACTCTGCTTTATCCTGTGCCAATCGCACTGTCTCTGACATACTTGCCCCCCATTACCCAGTCACTGAATCAATCCATCTCATAGAGGGTCTTCCTCTCCTGCGCTTTCCCTCTACCCTCCCAAGCATGATGTCCCTCTCCAAGGGACTGGTCCCTCCTTGCAACATGTCCAGAGTATGTCAGACGAAGCCTCAGGATCCTTGCCTCTAAGGAGCAGTCCAGCTTCACCCTCTCCAGGACAAACCTGTTAGTTTTCTTAACAGTCCATGGTATATTCTATACTCTTCTCCAACACCACAGCATAAAGGCATCAATTCTCTTCTATAATCCCTAGTGATTGTCCTGCTCTCTAATGCATAGCAAGTGATTGCAAAGACAATGACAGGTATCAGGTGCACCTTAGTCTCCAGA